ACTGGCGCCCTATTCCTTGGTAAACCGTGACACCTAATTGCTAGGCTATACCTTCGTTGCTTTTGCCGCCTGTCTAGGCTTGTTACAACTATAGTAGTTAAGATAACACCTATCATAAACCCAGTCTTATCAAAGTTGTAGATATCTCCATCATAGATGCCATATTTTGCAATTGTGTTACGTACAAGCTTAAAGTAACCACAGATGACCACTAGGTACTCACACTTAGCCCTCTAGTAGTCGCATTTGTGCTAGAAGCGTGTCTAGAGCTTTATATGATGCTTAACAAAGTTTGAAGCCTAATGTGACCTAACATGTAGTGTGTCACGTGTTATAAGTAGTCGATTTGCCTTATCTTTAACAACAGACATCTGTATTTAGTAGCTAGGTGTAATGATGTACGGTTACGCTCGCGCTACATCCCACTGAGCCAAAAAGACTACAGTATTCCGGCTCACCCGGAATACGCGTAATACGCTTTATATACCACATGTACTGTACGTGCGGCACCCATTACACTAGGTCGAGTGTGTGTTTAACAATGACTAATTCCTCTAGATTAGTCAATTTCCTTGAATTGGCTATAATATCACGTTGCGGCTGCATACCGCGTAGCTAGCGAGCTAGTTTGTGGTGGTCTACAGAATAGGTCTTAGCTATAGTGTAAAGACGTAATGTAGGGTCTCTTTGGATAGCTTGGATAGCTAAGGTCAACTCTCTCTCGTCATTTTTATGTGTTGTGGTAGTATTGTTGTGTTTAGTTGGGGGGTAGGGCGGTCGCGATATTTTTGCACATTCTCTTGTTTTGCACATTCGCTATACATGTATGTTACCCTATTTATTCACAGTTCAGTAATTATTGAGTAAATGTTCCCTAGACATTGATCCGGAGCTCCATCACAAATCCAGTACCCCAACAACCCATTATCAGGATCAAGCTCCTTCCAAAAGCGAATGTTATACGGGTTATAAATATCCTGCTTGAGGTCCTGGCCGTATAACTCCAGCTTCTTCATAAACAAGGTGTGAAAAACCATCTGCTGGATAGCGATACACACTTCCCGTCCAGGTCCTAGAGCTGGTACCATGTCTTCAATAGGGCCCAGAAAGACAGTTTCTATCCCGCCTAAGGCGATAACTGTGCTGTGGGTATCCGGCCTTAGTCTTAATTCGCCGAGGATGTTTATGTCGAGTTGCCGAACGTGAGGAAATAATTCTGGGACCATCCGGCACAGTGTCATACTGACATTCGTTGCACTCAGTTTGCTATCAAACTCAAGAGCAAACTTAGAAATCTCCTCCTCAAACCTACAAGTCACCATACATATCTTGGCTTATCACACCAACAACAGAAGCAATACTACTCAACGATTGCTGCAAACTCTTCTACTACATCTGTTTATGCTACATACATCACAGCATATCATTTGGACACTCATTGAACAAGTTATTAAGAAAATCTCCTCCTTAAGGGGGTGGGCCAATACTACCACATGGCATATCTCTACCAACTAGAGGCCTAGGAACATGAACGATAGCTCTAGAAGCTTCTACAACCCTCTATGATTCATTACACGTCATCGCTCCTTAGTTACCCACAAGATTGGTTAAGTTATGACATAATTTATCTATAGGTACTCTGACCTTGGACCTCCTTTTCACTTCCTATAGGCTAGGAACCCAAGAGATGGTTCTATGGGATTCTCTTACGTTCACTACATGATTAGCAAGCTAGTTGTGGGTCGCACTTGATTTCTAATACATTTACCAAGCCTGGTTAGTCATGGAAAGTCATGGAAAATGAGAGAACTACACTCCTTTGGCATAAATAGGATTGCCCTTTCCTTAAGAAAGGGCAAGCAGGCAATACAGTAAATCGACTATCACATACTTCCACGTCTTTTCCAAGCTTCCAAGCATTCATCTTGTTACTCCTTGTTTCTGAAAAGTCAGTGAGGTGTTAACCTCTGACTTACCCCTGAGTTCCCAGACTCAACATTTGTTGCAACTTGTCTGAACCACTTCACTACATCACACACCTGATTGCTGCGTTGTGGAATAGTCTAAGCTACAACCCTTTGGCTCTGTTTCATAAGACAGTGTGTTGTCTTAGTAAAATCATCCCTTCCTTGGGTGGCTAGATTCTCACATCTGGTGCACCCACCATTACACACAGCTCATGTAGTACCGAGTCTTTCATCGTAGGGTCATTCCAAAGAATGTCAAATGGTTTGTCCCTTGTTGCTGTAGGTCTAAAGCTCCAGGAAACTTCTAGAGATTCGATTCTTTGTAATCGCTGGGGCAGAATTAAGCGTGGAAGGTATAATAGCAGCTCGAAATTATCCATGTGGAAATTGTTTGTTGAGAACAGGATATCAACGCCATCAGCATATCTACTTAAACCATTATTATATTTCTTTGGCATAGAAAATACGGCAGGGTTTAACAATGAAATGCCTGTTGACATGCCAAAAGCCATCCCATAGCGTTAATGCGGCGCCTCAGAGGTCATTTGTCATCCACCTCAGGCCCACACTCCCTGTGATTTCGCCCATCTTTGCATTCGCCAGCGCATGGAAGTTTCCTCTGGTTCGTGATCCATCGTTCCTCACCAAAGTTTCTCCGAGCGATACCATCCGGCCACAAACTATCAGTCTGATGAGACACGCAAGAGTACCACCCCCAGGTTTTGCTTTTCGCATAGGTATAACTCCCATCTTTCCCAATAATATATTTCCCTTTCTTACGGATAGGCCGATTGAGATATGTCAGGTCCACGTGCAAAGTACGGCCGCCAAGCGCCTCGGTAAGGATCTGACGGCGTATTTCATATGGGAGATGCTGGAAGTAGCCATAGCTATCCATAGATGACACGAGGGTCTCCTTCGAAGGTGACGGTGTTAAAATACTCGGCCTTTCGGTGGGAAGGAAGGGCAGAGGATCTGGGGTTGGCTCTGACTAAGTAGAACCCCATGGAATGTTGTTTCGTAGCCATTTTTTGAGACTTGGTATGTGTGCAAGGGTTCGAGGAACAAATCGTAAATGTTGATATTCCGATATGTCTATCGTATGAACAACAAATCATTTATGACTCCTCGTAGACCTAAAATACAGCCGTTGTTGGTTGGTAAGTGGGAAATAAATGAGGGGTTGGTGGTGATCGCTTGGTCGTGGTGGTGACAGCGGCAAGTGGGGCCCGTTAAGGATGCTACAGGATATCTGCCATCTTCTTCTTCATATCCTCAGTGATTTCTCTTGGTGGTGAGACTTCCCAATCAGGGTCGTATATGTAGACCTATTCTATATTAGTATTATAAAGAAGTTAAGATAAATTTATGTAATCCAACTATCTAACATACTCTGCACCCGTGACTCTTGATCTAATGCCTCAAGAGCGAATTCTAAATGCTCGAGGCCTCGTAAATAGTCTGATTGAAGAGCCTCTTGTTCTTCAGTAAACTCAATCAGAACCTGGAGTGCTTGACAAGCGCTCTTCACAGAATGTAAAGAGCGCTCTAATTGCAACTCTTCTTCATCATCATCTTGAGTTTGCTAAAGACCTAGATGCTCATCAATAACCTCTTGTAGAGCCTCGTCCTCACTTAGTGTCCCATCTTGTATATCCTCTTCTTCGTCGCTTGGGTTTAGAAAGTTAGAAATTGCCATAACGTCATGAATATTGCCAGCTTGTATAACTTGTTCATAGAGTTCATTGATACCTGGAGGAGTAATTGGAATCGGAAGAGCAATCAGAATGCTAACAAGTGTAGATTTCTGAAAACAGTTATAGATTGTTGTATTTGTGACATAATGATTCCAGCTCTGTAGAATCCATTGGACCGCAAAGTGTAGATTCATCAATTCGAGTGGCTTTCGATCTGAAGTAAAAGCATCAAGCATAAAAGAGAGCCACTGCTGTCGATAATGACATTTGAATGATTGAATGATGCCTTGATCAAGGGGCTGGAATCGACTAGTACTGTTAGCAGGAAGCCAACAAATACGTATGTTCGTTGGAGGAGGACAAAGCTCAAGAGCGGTGTTATGAGCTGAGAAGTTATCCATCGTAAGAAGAACTTGCCGAGTCATTCCAATATGTCGATAGAAAGCGTGAAGCCATTCGCTCATAATTGTTGTATTCATCCAAGCCTTCTGGCTCACACGCCATTGCCCTTCCATTGATGGTATATCAATATTTCGAAGTGCGCGCGGCTGTTTATATCGTCCAATCATCCACACAGGTAGGCGATCAGTTCCAGAAGCATTAACACAAAAGACAAGGCTAATTCGAGTTTTCTCCTTCTTTAATCCTGGAAGCGTTTGTGTTGCAAGCCCTCGAGATGGCATCATCTTCCAGTATAGGCCTTCTTGTCCATATTATAAATGTCCTCCTCTTGAAATTCACCAGCGATAGTTCATAGAGCCTTCATTTCCTCCTCTGCTGTTTCTGGACAAGAGCCTCCTTCGCTGTGTTTTGTATGAACCTTGATATGATATCGTGCTTTAAATCGATGGAGCCAGCCAGTTGAGAAGTCTGGGCATTGTAGATTATCATCGTTCAGTAGTTGTTGCCAAATCTCTCGAGCCTTTTCTTGTAGTATATCACCGCTTGTAAAACCTCCACGCAATTGAATTCGTTGCTGCCATATAATAAGGAGTCGCTCCACTTCTGGCCACTGTCCAACTTGTAGTTGTGATCCTGTAGGTTGTATAGCTTTGTCTAGGTCTTCGAAATGTGAGCTTAAAGACTCGGAAACTGTCAACTGACTGAGTTTATGGCCGTAGTTCTGAGAGAACCATTCGATACATTGCTTTTGAGAAGGCTTCGGGTGTTGTTGATGTGCCCACTTGCGTAGAGCCCGGCGTTGCTCAATAGTTATTGCAAATCGTTTCGTCATTTCAAGGTCTGGATGGGAACACCATAGCATGAAGTTATCGCTTAATCGAGAATCGTTATAACGGTGCTTTACTGTATACTCATCAGTTCTGGTGTTTGGACCATGTTTGGACCATCGAATTTGAAAGAAGGACAAAGCATTCAGTACGTACCGAGTCTGTTTGAAGTGGGGTGCAGGGGTGTCATTCATGGATAGCCCACCAGCGTAAGAGCCCCAAGTGAAATATCCCACCTTTCGCATCTTTGGATGTTTGGACCATTATACTTGCAAAGCTGTGTTCAATGTGGACTATTTCATGATCTACAACACTGTTGCTGGCCAGAGAAACACACTAACTCATAATTACTGTAACGAGATGCTACCTGCTAATCAAGGCGCGGATTCACCAAATGTTTCGAGCACCGTACATCCGGACAAGGTCTAGGCTATTTCTTCCACTTGTCTGCTTCTTTTTTAACACTTCTAATGTTCACTTTAGGTGCGCCCTCCGTTTATTCTCAGACTTCCTCTTGTACTTCACTGGCTACATCGGTACTTGGAGAACCATCCAATGATCTTGATATGGTTTTGATAGTGATTAGAAGCCCAAAGCCCCTTCCAACTCCCGCCTCAAACGCCCTCCAGTATTGACTCACCTAGCGAGCTGGCTCGTACCTTAATACCCTCTCAGTCTGTCGACAAAAAATTCGAAAATAAAACTGGTGGAGACGCTGATCTGCACGATCAAAGTTCACGAGCCGTTCACAATCAGGACGGGGGCCTTTTTGTCAATCCTCACGGTCAAGGCTTATCAGCCACACAGCAAGGAATCGGTCATGTAGTCCCACCATACCAAGCATATGTCGAGAGCGCAGATGACTCAAGTGGCGATTCTCAGCCTTCTGGGGACCTCGATGGCTGGCTTTCAACAAGTGAAGGTGATGGTGGTCTAAACGAGCTGTCAAGGCAGACCGCGAAGCCATCCAGGTCACAGCAGTCAAATAAATCCCCCAAACGCAAGCAAAACTATGAAGGGAGCAGAGACCCAAAACGTTTGCACGTCGAGGCTTTGGACGGAACGGAGGTATACCTTGGGAGCAGAAGCCCTCAACTTTCAGGGACTTCCGAACTCCAGTCTGCACCTGACCAGAGTGATCAGACGCATGGCCAGCAATCTGACATAGAAGAAATCGGCCAAGACTTTCATTTTGTAGCGTCTTCCGGCACCTCGCCAACAGCATCTTGCAGCTCGCAGCAAACATCTTCCATGGCATCACCCATCGAAGACAATCCATCAGCCGAGAGTAACGATGGCTTCACGGATTTTCCAGCGGATTTGCAAGCAAAGGCACAGATGATTGGGGGTTTAGCAACACGAGAAATTGAGTGGCATTTCTTCAACTACATGGGGTCTCTGCTAATAACGTGTAAGCATAGGCAGCAGAGCAGAGAGAAGGTCGAACGGCTGTCAAAGAAGGAGGATGGTCCGCGGAAGAAGGCCAAAGAGAAACTCGAGTACTGGTTATCATTAGGGGAACTGCTTGCGATGCCAGTTACTACTACTATCCTCCAGACGATAAAATCATGTCTCAATCTCTAGATCCAGCGCTTACGACTCGTAGCTTGATAAGTTTCCATTCGATTGAGCATTCTACGTAGCAGGTCCAAAGTAGATGTTAGTTGAAATTTGACAAGGCAGAAGTGGACCGCCGACTAACCATTTTTCCCGCTTGTGACCACACTTGGGGCAGTTATCACCCCTCTTTATATTGTTTTGTCGCAGTATACTGGGTTCGAGCACTGGCCATAGAGACTGAGCTCATCCACAGCCGTGTCATATGGGTTGAGAGGATCGGATGATTGCGGTGGACCATAAATACAGTAAAAATACGATAAGTCGATGCCTCGGATCCACAAAAATATATCGACTTAATGCATATATCGAGTAAATGTATTACACGTGATTAAATTAAAAATTGAAGCTATTTACATAAACCATGAGTCTAATGTCCCCTGCCTTTGTGAATTGGCTTCAAGGAGCCTCAACTGTCTCTCAAAACATTTAAAAGAACATAAGAACGTTGGTGCTTCTGAGGTGTCACTATTCCCAGATTCCGTAAACTCAATCAGAACTTGAATGGCGTTAATCGCAGCTTGTGTAGTTGGCACCTGTGAAGAAGGCTCATCCTCTTCCTCATCATCTTGAGTGGTATCTGGGACGTATTGTGACATGATATCCTCAAGAATAGCATCCCCCCCCTGAAACTCCTCCCACCCCTTTAACTCTTGTATATCCTCATCGACTGGATTTAAAAAGCTCGAAAGATCCATAGTGTCATGTACATTCCCAGCTTGTTTTACTTGTTGATAGAGATTGGTAATATCAGGAAGAGGTTGTGAGGGTAGTTGAACTGGCTTTTGAACAATCATACTCTTTCGAAAACAGTTATAGATTGTCGAGTTTATAAGGTCATGATTCCAGGATCGAAGAAGCCATCGAATAGCAAGTCGTATATACATCGTTTGGACAGGATCTTCATTCCTTTCAAAAGCATCAAGGATATAAAGGAGCCATTGTCGACGGTAATGGGCTTTGACAGAGGCAATGATACCTTGATCTAGGGCTTGATATCGACTTGTTGCATTTGGAGGAAGCCAGATAACTCGGATATTCGCAGGGGGTGGTATCAATTCGAGGGCCTTTATATGTGCTGAAAAGTTGTCCATGGTGAGAAGAACCTCCCGTGTTGTACCAATATGAGCATAAAAAGCCCTTAACCATTCTGCCATAATAAACTGATTCATCCAAGCCTTCTTATTCCACCTCCAAACCCCTTGCTATGATGTCGATGTTTCGTAAAGCTCAAGGCGTTTTTGCCTTGTCCATCTTCCTTCCTACTCGAGCCTCCATTGTAGAAAGCCCACGAGATGGCATCATCTTCCAGTATAAACCCATCTCATCCATGTTATAAATGTTGTCCTCTAAATACTCCCCAGCCACTGTCTGAATAGCCCTCATCTCGTCCTCTGCTGTCTCACTGACTGATGCCCCTTCTCCTTGCCTCTTTCTATTCCGGATGTTGTGACGTAGTCGAAATTTCTGTATCCAAGCAATGCTAAACTCTGGCGAAGGCTTCCCTTGATATTGTGGTAGTTGTGACCAAATTCGCTTTGCCTTCTCTTGTAAGATCTCCGCAGTTGTAAAACCTCCTTTTGAATCGATTCGTTCTTGCCACTCCTATCAACGTATATTCATATCGTTCTGTAGATTGACTAATTTAAATGTTGTACTTCTCAAAAAACCAGGCGATACAATCTTTTTGGGAAGGTCGAGGTGTTTTGTTGACGGTCCATTGTCGAAGAGCACGACACTGTTCAATTGTCATCGAATTGAGCTTTCTTGAAGGCATTCTATAAGATTCAAAAGATTAGCATAAGTCGATATTCAAGGAGGATCTCACGATATCGGATGTATTGTGTTTTGTATGTAAAAAGCTTCCGTACAGAAAAAGATATCAAGATAACGTAAATATCGGCTAAAAGCATATCGACTTATCGTATTTTTACTGTAGTCTCGTACGGTTCCTTGAGAGATGTCTGAGGCAGATCCATGGTGATATATATTGCTAGTGTGGAGAGTTGGTCAAGGGTTGTGGAGAAGGTTGAAATGAGGATATTCGTGGCAGCAGTAGGTAGCGCTTGTTGTGAACTTCTGTGGAAAGTGGAGAAGAGCTTCTTCAGCTGGCTCGCTGATCAACGATATTTGTGTGGAAGCGAACATAGATGCCTAAGGCACAACAAGTTTATCCCTTTGGGCGCCTTTCGCATAATCGTTGGTTTCCAAACCACCGCCTGGAGGCGGTTGGCGAAAGCGATCCTTGCTCTCTCGGCAAACATGAACGCGTCCAATGCGACATCAGGACAACGCGACTATCTGGACAACAAACAGCAATGAACGTAGATATAATTGATTAATTAAATAGGTTAGGATCTATATTGTCAGGCAGTGATTCATTATCACTTACACTGTCACTTGCACTGTGGATCATGTCATAGTCAAGGTCTGCAAAGTCAACAAAACCACTTTCTTCAGCGGCCAATTGCTGGTGCAACTGCTCCTCCTTCTTCCCCTCTTCCTTCTGTCTCCTACGCTCAATATCAGGGTCTATGATTACTTCGAGTAACTCCCTTGGTAGCTCGGTGTCTGGGTTACTCCTTTGGAATTCAAGTAATTCCCTTTTCCGTACCCGTTCCGCTCTCCGTGCATCAATGCCAGCATGGAGCTGCAGCTTATACTCAAGGTTAACCATGCGCTTTCTCTCTCTTCTCTCTCTTGCTTCTTCTCTCTCTTGCTCCTTTACTATCTTCATATGAATCTTCTTCCGTGCTTCTTCAACTGTAACAGCTCCACCCTTTTGAATAGATTTTCTGCTTCTAACTTTCCGTTGTCTTTGCTCAGACATAATAGTAGTAATTTGCATAAGCTCTGAGGTAACCAAAGTACTTTCTGTTAATTGTACTTGAATCTCTGTATAAGAAGATGTCCACTTTTGCCGTGATGGTGAACTAATAATCTCTTCAAATCTTTGACTCCAATTTGAAAGATCTTGACTTGCTTGGATTGCTTGCCTTGGTGTTTCTAAAAGTGCTGGTTTTGCGTATATTGCCACTTTATTTTCTATCTTCTCGTAGTTTGGTGGCCAAATACCAGAGTCTCTAAACGCTTTCATACAGTTTCCCTTTGTAAACGTTTGTGTTCGGATTGTAGGTAAGTCTCAGAAGAATGAAATAACATTGTAGTCAACATCAAAATTCCGAATTGCTTGTTGAATAGCACGGCGGTGCCAATGCTTATACAGTGCAAATACTGTAACGTCAAGAGGTTGTAGTATATGTGTAAGGTGAGAAGGGAATACATGTAAATGTATGTTGTTTTGATGTGCAAGTATTATAAATTCTGGAACTTCATGAGAAATGTGAGAGTCCATTATAAGCAACTTCGTCTTTGTAGAGGGTGCAGAATGTTGAATAAAATGCTGTAGATATTCCATTGCGAGCTCAGAGTTTGTATATCCTGAATCTGATACTGCAACTCTCTCATCACCGTGTAGATTATCATGGTACCAACTTTCCATATTAAGCTTTCCTTGAATTATTAGGAACGGTGGAAGTACAATGCCAGCAGCTGAAATTGTCTCTATTACTGTGAGACTTTGACGATTCTCTGGAGCTTGTATATAAAGCTATACAAATTAGAATAATATAATGTAAGATGAGTACATATAACGTACCTCCTTTACTGCTGTTAGCACTAACACATGTTCACCGGTGCTCATTCCCACTTGGAACCCAACTTCATCAAAGTTGTAGATGTTAGCTGCAGTAACATCTAATTGATTACACACATCTCTGAATCCATGAAACCATTCTTTGATAGCTGATACATCATGAGAAGCAACACGTGCTGCTTCAATTGGCCGGGTTTTAATGGTGTGGAAAGTCTCATGTTGAGTCTTAATCCAAGTCTGGAACCACCGTTGAGACGGTGGTGGATGCATCAGGATTTCAGCTGCTAGTAGTTGGCAGATAGCATTAAACACCATTGGCTTCGTTGCACCATACCCATTTTCATATGACTGTTGAATGTATCTTTGTATAGCTATAACTTGTATATCTGAAAGTATTCTGTTGTTACCTCCGTGAGGCTTTGGTGGTTGGCGTTGCGCCATGCGTCGCATACGGAGTGTGGTTGGGAGTACATGGTAGATTCTAGCTGCTGCGGCGATAGTCTCCATTGGGTTCTGATTTAGGAAATCAATTGCTTTTTGAATAGCTTCGTTTCTAGCTATATCAATTGACATGATTGTAACTTTACGTGTCAATTGTTGTCCAGATAGTTGCGTTGTCCTGATGTCGCATTGGACGCGCTCGCGTTTGCTGAGAGAGCAAGCATCGCTTTCGCCAACCGCCTCCAGGCGGTGGTTTGGAAACCAACGATTATACCACAAAGAGCAGAATGTCCAACCACTTTTCGTATGACTCAACCATCAATCTTCCGTTGGCAAGGCCAACATAACGACAAGCGATCCGCGCTGACCTTTCAGCATACAGATTGGACAGCTTTACTCACAGAAGCATGGATTCTTAATGGTGGTCGGTCATGCATCTACGATGGACATTATCATGCTGGAGGACGCCATATTGTTCGTCGTCTCGGATTCATCGATGAAGCCGAATTGTGGCTTGTACGCATTCCTATTATTCCAGCCTCTCCGGCCTTTGACGAGAACGAAATATTGAAATGGTGGATGACCGAACGGCGATTTACCATGGAGAGCGAGATTGCTACGATGAAATACATCGCGAAATTCACCAATATACCAGTACCCACGATATTTGGGCACAGGACATCTATAGATGGAAACCCTGTGAGGCTGCCTTATATGCTGATGCAATGCATAAGAGGCAATATGTTGTTCGACCTTGGGGGTCCTGGAATACTCAATTGTGAGCAAAAGTGTAGGATTCAGAAGTCGATAGCTTCAATACAGGTTTGTGGAACTCCTACCTTTCATTTCCCTCATGCTTAGTTGTTGTGCC